CACCTGTTAAGGTCTTAGGAAAGTATAACCTTAATAATCTCCTAATGCCAGAAGTTATTTTTCTTCTCTGGACCTCATTCCCTCTTACATTGTATTGAAATGAATAAATGAATTGCAAGTAAATAGTGGGGGACAGTAAGCTCTGAGAGCTGACAGCCTCTATTCCACTTACTACCTTTATAAAAACCTTGGTATGTACCTAAGTCATGTCATCTATAAAACTAAGCTAATAATAACGATCATATCTCCCTAATAAAAATGGTTTTGATGATTAAGTGCAATATAGTAAAATTTAGAAAAATGTTTCTATTATAACCAGTTTGGCTAGGATAGGTGGAAAGAACAGAAATATACTAAAATAATTTTGAAATATACAATATATATTTATGGGGCATTGACATCAAGTTAAAAATATAGAATCCACCATAACAGTGTAATCAAAATTTTTAGAAAGTCAAATCAAGCTGAGTCTCAGAGACTATTATGCTTATTTGCTAAATGTACTATCAGAATGCTTCGCTGATACAACGAATACAGTAATTCCTCCAGTTCGCATAAACTGCCAGACAAGCGACTCAATGCAATTCACTCACTCTCTGAGAAGTTTATCCGCTCTGTCAATGTTCATCTTTCCTGGCAAACCATCCTTTAGTATTCTAAGCTAACTAGAGCAAGGTGAAGTTGAAGAATGCCCAGCCATGTCTCCAACCAATTCTACTTTCTGTCCCATTCAGAGGGCTTCCAGGTCTTCAAAAAAGAGGGAGGCATTAGGACGTGAAAGTGCTGAGTTAAATTTGGATCTTTTCCTAAGTCCAGAAGGAAAAATGGGATTTGAAGTGCCAGGTGATATGACATACTTTCTACTTTTAAATACTCACTCTGACTGTTGTGAGGGAAGTGATATGGGATGTGCTCGGGGAAGAATGTCACCAAGACCAGCTGGAGGCTGTTAAAGTCCTCCAGGAAGCAGCATCATGGGCTGAACAATCACCTTCCAATAAACAACATACAAGTGGTCATATTTGGGAAGTATTTTGAAGATAGAAGAAATTAGACCTGATAATGGGTAGTGCCTGAGGGAAGTGAGGATTTTTGAACGACTACTAGGTAAATGCCTGTCAGTGACCGAGAAAACGTTGGGATGTGTTATGAGAGAGTAATCCCAAAATTTCATTTGTTGAAGACTTACCCTTCAGGACCTCAAATTCGAACATCCATACAGAAGGCAAGTAGAGTCCTGAGGGCTGCCACTCACCTCTAGGTGCCCCAACCCTCGCAGCAGTCCTGCTTCTCCCTTCCACCCACCCTCACTCACAAACAGTGTCCCTTTCTTTTTTTTTTTTTTTTTTTTCTTTTTAATTTTTTATTGGATTATAGGTTTTGGGGTACATGAGCAGAGCATGCAAGACAGTTGCGTAGGAACACACATGGCAGTGTGCTTTGCTTTTCTTCTCCCCTTCACCCACATTTGGCATTTCTCCCCAGGCTATCCCTCCCCACCTCCCCCTCCCACTGGTCCTCCCCTTTTCCCCCCAATAGACCCCAGTGTTTAGTACTCCCCTTTCTGTGTCCATGTGTTCTCATTTTTCATCACCCACCTATGAGTGAGAATATGCGGTGTTTCATTTTCTGTTCTTGTGTCAGTTTGCTGAGGATGATGTTTTCCAGATTCATCCATGTCCCTACAAACGACACGAACTCATCATTTCTGATTGCTGCATAATATTCCATGGTGTATATGTGCCACATTTTTCCAATCCAGTCTATTATCAATGGGCATTTGGGTTGATTCCAGGTCTTTGCTATTGTAAACAGTGCTGCAATGAACATTCGTGTACATGTGTCCTTATAGTAGAACGATTTATAGTCTTTTGGATATATACCCAGTAATGGGATTGCTGGGTCAAATGGAATTTCTATTTCTAAGGCCTTGAGGAATCGCCACACTGTCTTCCACAATGGTTGAACTAATTTACACTCCCACCAACAGTGTAAAAGTGTTCCTTTTTCTCCACATCCTCTCCAGCATCTGTTGTCTCCAGATTTTTTAATGATCGCCATTCTAACTGGCGTGAGATGGTATCTCAATGTGGTTTTGATTTGCATCTCTCTGATGACCAGTGACGATGAGCATTTTTTCATATGATTGTTGGCCTCATATATGTCTTCTTTCGTAAAGTATCTGTTCACATCCTTTGCCCACTTTTGAATGGGCTTGTTTGTTTTTTTCCTGTAGATTTGCTTGAGTTGTTTGTAAATTCTGGATATCAGCCCTTTGTCAGATGGGTAGACTGCGAAAATTTTTTCCCATTCTGTTGGTTGCCGATCTACTCTAGTGACTGTTTCTTTTGCCGTGCAGAAGCTGTGGAGTTTCATTAGGTCCCATTTGTCTATTTTGGCTTTTGTTGCCAATGCTCTTGGTGTTTTGTTCATGAAGTCCTTGCCTACTCCTATGTCCTGGATAGTTTTCCCTAGATTTCCTTCTAGGGTTTTTATGGTGCCAGGTCTTATGTTTAAGTCTTTAATCCATCTGGAGTTAATTTTAGTGTAAGGTGTCAGGAAGGGGTCCAGTTTCTGCTTTCTGCACATGGCTAGCCAGTTTTCCCAACACCATTTGTTAAACATGGAATCCTTGCCCCATTGCTTGTTTTTGTCAGGTTTATCAAAGATTGTATAGTTGTATGTATGTTGTGTTGCCTCCGGTGCCTCTGTTTTGTTCCATTGGTCTATATCTCTGTTTTGGTACCAGTACCATGCTGTTTTGATTACTGTAGCCTTGTAGTATAGTTTGAAATCCGGTAGTGTGATGCCCCCCGCTGTTTTCTTTTTGCTTAGAATTGACTTGGCTATGCGGGCTCTCTTTTGGTTCCATATGAAGTTCATGGTGGTTAACAGTGTCCCTTTCAGCTCTTCCATCATCTCTGTATTTGATCTCTCTGGTGAGTTCATGGCTGAGTTAAGGATTCCTTATACACTAGTCTCTTTTGCTGATTGCTGACATTGGAGGAGGTCAGGGAACAGGGCTGAGCTGAGTGACCTTTAAGGGCATTACCTGTTCTTTTCCTGTACTTTCCTACTAAGGAGAAACCTTTCTTGCACCAGGCCTGCAGCTTCCTTAGTTGCCCACATTATCAGGCAGTATCTGCCTGGCACTCCTCTTTGTTCCTTTATTCTGACCTTCCTTTTTGATACGATGGTTGACCTGAAGTCACCTAGACAGGACTGCTCATCTCCAGGCCCTGTGGAAAACAGTATCTGGTGAAACCAGAGACAAAAATCCCAGTAACACAGTGGCAGCTGCTGGAATCAAACAACTGTGCTGTGCCTAAGATACAACTCATACAGGCCCGCTAGAACGGACCCACTTCCCACAGTGCAAGAGAAGAACTGCCAATTAAGAACGTAATCCCTCTTCAAATATGTCTATTTCACTCAAGAGAAAATACCAATCTGCCTGGGTCTCTTACAAGAACAATGTTGTCTGTAGCAAAATCTAATCTATTAGGAAGCATTCTGTATTATTGTCTGCAACTCTTCAGAAGGGCCAGATGAGATCCTCCTATGCACAGCAGAGGATCCACTCAGGCACACCTGTCCAGGGGCTTGCCTTTATGACTTCCTGTCACGGCCTCCCTAGTCATGCCTCCAACCAAGCTATCCTCAAATTAAGACTAGCCATGCACAAAAAGTGAAAAATTACACAAGGTCTGAAATGGTAAGTGGCAGCTGGTGATACTGACTAGTATATTTTATGAACTGATGAACAGGAAATTTCTGGGTATCACGGAGCAATCAACAGCTGAGAAGAGAACTACTAATCCAGGATTTTGCAAGGGCTTTGTGCAAATGTAATCGTTTACTGCACAACTGTACAGACAAAAATGAAAATAAAGGTAGTAAGGAGTACCATACACCATTACTTAGAAGATTAAATAAAGCATATTTCCCAAAAGTCATGTGGGGAGAAAATAAAAATATAGGAAGAAAATTACACATGGCAAGGTAGACTCAGAACATAAAATGTAACAAACAAGAGCCAGAAAGAGAATGGGGAGGAATTTATAGTAGAATATCATAGAAAAAATCCTCTGTGTGAAATGACACTCTGATGAAACGGGTGAAATAAATCCTGAGTAAAAACAGAAGCCCAGTCAAAGCATTTGAGGCTTGGATAAGCATATCAAATAATCTTAGTTGAATTGTGGCCACTTAATTATCAGTGGTGGGGAATGCAATATTTCTTAGGGGAAATCAAGCAGAGGATGAATTCTGTAGAACATTCTGGAGAAAGTGGAGGTCTCAGCGACATGACATCGTGTGGGTTACGCAGGAAACCATGGATTCAGTTTGTTCAGACCTAGAAATTCCTTGGTGGTTTCCGTGTTCAGTTTTGCTTTAATAACCCCTAAAGGCATTTTAAAAATACAAATTGTTTCGCTTTCCTGTGTTGTACAGCACCAAGCCTTGCCTGAGCAGAGGGAGACCACAGAAGTTTGGACAATTCCTGTGGCCTGTGCAGGCTGCAGAACAGCTTTCTGTCATCTATCAGTGCTGGGAGTGTGCTGTGTCCACACGTCTCACAGATACGGAGAGACCATCTCTATTGCATGAAAAATTAAGCTAAATGTGAAACTATTCATACACACGCTTCATGAGAGATGGAAATAGGCTATAAAAAGAGTGAGAGACAGTGATCATCTTCACTGTTAGCTGTAGGATCGCTGTCCTCACCCCCAACACACACACAAACACACACATGTAGAAATGAAAAGCACAGTGGGAAGCAGAATAGCAGTTTACCAAACAGATTGAAAACCAAATGATGTCTAAAGTTCAGTTCTGACACTGTGCTGATTGCTTGGACACAGTTCCTTTCAGAATCTTTGTCCAAGTCATAAGTTGTGCCTTTAAAAAATGAGACGCAAATAACATCCTACCCAGCCCTTCCTGCTGGGCTAGAATCCCAAAAGAAATGACGGATACGCTTGACCTGAAGTAAGCAAAGCAGAACCCAGTCTCTGAGGTGATGAGCTCTACCTGGTAGAGAGCTCAAATGTGCCATTGTTCTGCTTGTCTTTATAAAGGGACCTGCCGTGTTTTCTCCCAGCACGAAGCCAGGAGCAACACCAGAGCCTCTTGCAAAATGCTTGTGATTCTGCTGTCAGTGGCCCTGCTGGCCGTGAGCTCAGCTCAGAGCTTATATGAAGGTAAGACAAATTGGGGCAAGATCTTGTGACTCTGATTGGCGTTTAGGGGCTCACGCTATAGAGGAGGAGGATAGTGGAGAGAAGAGAGGAGGATGAGGAAACAGATGGCACTGCAGAGGTCTCATGCCAAGGATTAGAAGACCTGTTGTGCTCTCATTCCTCAGCAAGGCCTCCTAATTTGTTTATTTCACAAATAGAACTCAATAAATAATTTGTGCCAGGGGATTGAGAGAGTGAGATTTGCACTTATAGAGACATGGGACTGCCGTGAAAGACGCAGTGGAGAATGCAAGACAGACTCAGGGAGGTCCAGCTGTGAAGATCCTGTACTGATCTCGGTATACAGGGATGACGCTGGCCTTGCTACAGCGCATTGGCATTGACGAAGGAGATAAACACATATGAGAAATGGGTAAAACACTGTCTCTGTCTATAGAGAGAGAAAGAACAATCAGAGCAAAATATTGTCATTTTTCTCTCCCCTATGTTAGTATTTCAATGTGCTGGGAATGGCATGTGTAGGATTGTATGTATCCAAATGGTTTTTCCTGGTGGCCCTTATTGAGAAAGCTTGCAAACATCAGCAACATGTTTACAGAAGAGGGCAGAAGAATCCTGAAGTATGACATTGAAATACTCAGGGCAGTTGAACCAAATAAGCACTAAGGCTTGAGGAATCATAGGGAGGACAAACGGGGGCCCTTGTATGTTGAGTTCCTGGTTGAGGCTCAGCATAGTAACAACCCTGCCTCCCCTCACATCTTCCTCCACTTCCAGTAGCATCACAGACAGTGGCTGATGAGGTCACTTAGGGGATGCACAGGGTGTGATCAGAAGTCCCTTTTCCTCATAGAACACTATGAGCCCTGAAAGATTCACGAAGTAACTCTTCCCATCATCCTGTACTTCTTTTCTAGATGACAACCAGGAAGACGTTCCCTCCCTAATATCAGGTAAATCCCAATAAATTCTCGGTAAACTTTGTCTCCATTTTTTCCTGAAGAATAGGTCAGTTCTACAGTGTCTTCTTATCATCATTTTCTTCTCAGGAATTGGCTAATGTTAGTGCCCCCAGAGATAGAAACAGTTTTCTCCCAAACTTGATTCTGCGGACCATGAGCAAGGGCATTTGATTTTTCATCACCCTCATGTGAATTAAGAGGAGTTCTAATCAAGAAGCCTTGGAAAGGCGGGAGGCTGACAGTTGAGAGGCAGGTCAGGCAGACAGGGGTTGTGTGGTGAACACAGAGAGGTATGAAGACAGGAGGGTCTTCCAGCACTGAGCTCAGCTCTTCTGGTTTCAACTCACACAGATGCAGGGGACTCTTATCAGAGCCCAGATGAGGAGAGTCAGAAATCACCTCTTGGAGAAGACCCACCTGCTGAAGATGAAAACCAAGATGATGGTCCTCAGCAGGGACCACCCCCACAAGGAGGCCGCCACCACCACCGTCCACCACCTCCTCCAGGAAAGCCACAAGGACCACACCCACAGGGAGGCCACCACCACCACGGTCCACCACCTCCTCCAGGAAAGCCACAAGGAGGCCACCACCACCACGGTCCACCACCTCCTCCAGGAAAGCCACAAGGAGGCCACCACCACCACGGTCCACCACCTCCCCCAGGAAAGCCACAAGGACCACCCCCACAACAGGGGCAGCCTCCCCAGTAATCTAGGATTCAATGACAGGTATGATTCCAGTTTAAACTCCATCAAAGGCCCCAACTACTACAGTTCTCCAGCTTCATTGTGCCAACGAATCCACTGAAAGCCTATTAATATTGCCTTGTCCAGGAACACATTTCTAAAGAATTTTGTTCAGGTAGTCTGGGGTAGGGTAGCAAGACCTTGTTTTTAAACAATTGCTTGAAGGCAGTTCTGATTTTGAGAATCACTGTCTTTAAATTACCTCTCCTATGAATGGCTGACAATGAGAACGTAGAACCATGTCCTCCCTCTGGCGCTCCGTCTTCTTTCCTCAAACTCAAAGACCTCCCATTTATTTAAAGTTCTCACCTGAACACTCCTTGCTCAGTCCTGCCAGCCTTTCAAGTCCAGTATTCCTGCTAAATGGTCCTTGGACTTTCAGCTTTTAAGTGGTATCTCATTTTTTAAAATACGTTTAAAGTCATGCATGCTTAAGCTAACAAAAACTAATCTCGCTGAACAGAACATTTTTTCCTCTGCGGATCCTTCTCTTTGAAATATTTATTGCTCCATAAATATATATAATGCCTTTTTTCCCATCACTGATACCATACTTTATATTCAGATCTTTGTCTTACTCATTAGAAAAATTTATTTCTTAGAGAACTTCCACATGAGTTCATTTAGATCTCTTCAGTGTTTCTCAGTTAGTTGTTTTTACAATTGTATACTATGCTATTGTTTGATCGTTGCATAGTTTATTTCGCCAATCCGTGTCACTAGACACGGAGGTTGGTTTCACATTCTCACTATTACAGGATATGCTGCCGTGCCCATCTTTGTATAAAATAACCCTTAACATGTCCAACAGCCACACAGCACAAACAGCCTAACAATTATCGTTTCTCTTCCTTATTGAAGCAATAGTTTAAAGCACTTTACGTGCAATGGTATAAAGAGTGTGAACAAAGAAAATATTATTAAGAAGAAAGGGGGCGCTGTAGAAGGGATAGAGGGCAGGAGGATGGGCTGGCATCCCACTCACTGCAGTAACACCAGTGAGGGGCTAGACTTTTCCTGCTGTGTCAGGTCTTGTCTATAATCTTCCTTGTTTGTTTTCAGGAAGTGAATAAGAAGATAACAGTGTTTCGAATGCCATGAAATATAATGTGGTCATGCTCTAACTTCAATATACTAATAAAATAATCAGCTTGCAATTTCTGATTGTGGTGTCTCTTTCTGAGTGTTTGGGAGTCTGGAATCTGAGATCCATGTGCATGTTGTATGAACATCCAGGACCCATTCTCCTTGATGTTTCCAGCAAGCTTCTCTCCTCCTTGTCCTAATTAAGTCATCTGCCCAGAGAAGGAGTTCCACTGTTTCTTTCCTTCTCCGTCTTCTATAAAATAGTCAGAAAATATTTTAGAAATTGATGGTTTTATAATGAAACAGGGAGTATTGAAAATATATTAAGTAAGCAATAAGCTCAAATAATTTAAAAAGATAAAATACACTGGGAGAGCAGAAATAAGAATGAAAATTAAAAATATTAAATTAATAAGAAGAAATGATTCATAAATTTTGTACTAATAGTAATAACTTCCTGAAAGTCCAATGAAATTCACAGAAGTCTGTGAAAATAATCTTCAGAGTAATCAGGTAAAGCTTAAACAAGTGTTTTAAAAGATGGTACTTTTTTCTACATTCTGAAAAGCAAACCTGAAAAACCGAACACAGTTTTTACAGATATACAATACAGAGTGACATATATAAAATGACCTTAAAAACATAGTAAACATGTTATAGTACTTAATATCTAAGTAAAATATTGTGAAATTTAACAGAGAATTCACTCCTCCCTAAAGTACCTTCATGGGAGATTTCTCAACTAATAGGCAGCCCTTTAATATGATGATGTATGCAAAATATTGAAAGGAAGAGAAATACCGAAAAGTCTTGAAAGAAAAGAATAATTTTGATATAACAACTCTAACAAAGGTAATAACTATAAATCTCACTTTAAAAACTACATAATTTCAAACAAATTGAAGTGATATATTAGTTAAATGACCAAGCAGACTTGATTCTAGGAATGTTAAGGAATGTTCATTATTTGTTTTGGATAATGGAGTCAGCAGAGGAAAAAAATATATATGATCATCTCGAAAGATGCCAACGTTGTCTTTGACAATATTTAATATATTTTTTTTAAAGCAGTTCTTGTAAAATAGTTCAAGTAGCCTTCTGACCATGATTAAAATGATGAACCTCAAAGTAACTGCTGACCTGATGTGTATCTGCAACACACTGAAAAACGATCTAATACAAAGATACAAAGGAAAAGCTTATCAATGTGGGTAATTAGAAAGTGAAAGATCTTATTTAGCATTAGACAAGCACATAAAAAAGATCTACATATTGAAATAGAAGGAGTAAAATTATCACCACAAGCAGATCTGTTTTACTATCCAAAAAATAACAAAAGAATCCCCTGAAGTAAAAAGGGAAAGGAAGGAAATCCATTGTAATTAATATAAAATTTAATGCAATATTAAAATTTATAAAGAAATGATTAATTCAGTTTTAAAAAATTATTTGTGATTGCACAATACCCAGATAATAAATATTTTAAGTAAGTGATCATTCACAAAGAAACCAAAAGATGTAGCCTTCTAATTTTTAATGCCATTGTGATAGCAATCATCTGATTGTTTTATTCTCATTTATTTCCACTTCTGATTATAAGAACAGCTTCTTTCCGAGTGATGTGTTCCCCCTAGTGGCGTCTTAGCTTCATCACAGGAGTTTGCAGCTCTGGCTGCTGGAAATCCTTGAACTCAGAAAGTCTACATATCAATGTATAAGCCAGGTCTGGAAAGTGACATGCGAGCTTCATGTTTCAGTGAAGTACGTTTGCCTGGGCTGTCCTCCTGTATAGCGTTAATTCAATCATTTATTCAATTGTTAGTTGATTAAAAATGTATTGAACTACTCTGTGTCCAGGCTTTCTTTTACATCATCAGGCTACAATAACAGGACTAATCTATGTAATATTTTTTCATTTTTATAAAAATTTTAAACATATACATGCAACTAACATTTAATAGCTGTAGATAAGAGTATTTTTATGATAAATATTTTAAAATTATTCAATATCACACATGGTAGAAGAATCCCAAAAGAAGGACAAAATGCCACACAAGAATTTTTTTTAACATTTTTTTTCTAGATTGCATGAGATAGTCACCAGAATGGTCTATGAATGTGAGGGTTTTCCAGCTGTCAACCACACCTCACCTGCCAAAGCACCGAAAGAGAACTACCTTTTGTAGCCTACTGTTTCCCAGAACCAGGATAAGCATTTGCAATAGCCTGGCTAAGCATGAGAGCCCGTTTGTTGTGTATCATCTCAGAGTGGAAAACTGCTATAAGAAGAGACAGAAAGTAAATAGCAAATAATAAGAGGAAAACATCACAGATATCATCACAATATGAGAATATTGGCCTTGACTCTAGGATCTCTAAATTCCATTGCATTGAGCTTCAGATTTTTTAGATATTTCCATAGGGAGATTAACAAGAGAAAAACTTTTAAGGATAGAGAAAAGGGTATGAAGGTAAATATAATCAGTTTTATGAAGTTTACAATGTCACTCCTTTCAGAATTTGAAGTGATATTTATTTCACATGGATGTACCCAGATATTAAGAAACATGCTTGCCATGGTAAGATTAAAATGGAATGAGACAAATAGACCTAACAATAGGACCAGAATTACAATTTCCACTCTATGCTTCAAGTGGAGAAAGGCAGGATTTGAAAACTTGACTATCTTGAGACAATAAACGAGGGTGAGGTTTCTGGCAAGCCAGATGCTAAAACGACTGGCCACAGTTCCAGTAATAGCAAATATAACTTCCTTTGTACTCATCTGTAAAGGTAACTACAGCTCTGCTATATAAACCTTCTCGCCATTATTACCAAAATCAGACAGATTGTGAAGATAGCCAAAGCAGTGAGGAGGCGAAGAGCCCTTCTGCACATGGAGCCACTCACTGCAGTTCACCAGTATAATGAATCCACTCTCTAAAATTCCAATTAGGAATTCTCTATTTATTATTATAGTGAAGAGACTACGCAAGGCATTTAGCATGGCTGCAGAGAAAGAGCTCCAATGCATAACTGCAATGCTGACAATTCCCTGACCTACCATATGTCCATGGCATACATACTTAGGTTGTGGATGTACAGTTAATTTCTTCCTTTAAAAAAAAAACATAGGCTTAATATGAAAGCAGAAAGCACCAAGCTGTACTGATGAATGGCCACATAGCTTTTTTCACAGAAAGATTATTTTGCCCCAGCCAGCTAGCTGCACTCTGATCCAGATATTGTATGTAAAGTGAAATTTCTCACACTTGATGATGAAAGAAAAAACTGAATTTTCATTTGTTAATAGGCAAATGACAACAGTTCTCTGTGTCATCATTTTGCACGTTTGCTTTAATCTCTACGCAATTTGCTCATTAATTTTAATTGTTATCAATGATATTCAAATTCAGTGCATAGAACTTTAACATATAATAAATATCTAAATTAGTAGATGGAGTGTGGTGAGCACTAAAATCGTCTCCACTGAGGAATGCTGAGGGAAGACTGAAGTGATATTTTCGTAGTTTATCCGAAGATCTTGTAATTCAAAGCATTCAAGTTTCCTGAATGAATCCAGAGAAGCTATAACTCCCAAATGCTGGGTGCTGACAATTTACCTTTCTTTATCAGTGAGTTGTTTGCAAGTGCCCATAAACACAAACTTGCAGAACAACCTTGTGGGATCATTGCCCAGAAGCGACTGCATTAGTTTGGCAATAAGAATACAGAGCTCAAGAAATCACATGGATTCAAAACCGTCGATTTTCTAATAATTAATTATTTCTTCCTTCATTTATGTTTATTAAGCTTCTCCTGACATTTAAAAAATTAGATATCAAAATATTCTTAAAACATAATTATTCTTGATATTCTCTAATACAAAACTGAAAATATCCAGGAAACTTTGAGAACCATTTATAGGGCTTATGAAAACTGACAGAACTCTCTATTAAGTCCACAAAGCAATCTCTTAGTTAAAGCCAAATATGGACAATACTGAGAATGCAGATGGCTGTCGGCAGAGCAAGAATAGTCCTAATTTTTGTGCTTCTTCACTACTCGGTGTTACCCACTTTCCTATAGTTATCAAAGGCCTTTGGGTTTTATTCGGCTTCTCCACACCTCTGCTGAACGACGTCTGGGCTATGGCTGTTTAATCTTACTCCAAAGTGAGTAAGTACAGCTTTCCTAAACAACATGGTGGGTTTAAATTGTAATATATTCTCATTTCTCGAAAAAAAATTTTAAAGCAATTCATTAGCAAGGCCCTATAGAATTGTCAATATTATCCTCGAATTTGGAGGGATCCAGATTGAGGAGTTAAGGAGGCAAAAATGAGAAATTGTAAGGATAGGAAACTTGAAGGATAGGAGCCCCAACACATGACCCAGGCAGAGGCAGGATGGGCATTACAGGCTTGGCATCTTCCAGGATATTGAGCTGAATTTGAAGAATACACCAACCCCCACAATAATGTAAATGGGGTAATAGAGTAGGCTCTAAAACTGAACTCTCAAGGGGTATTAGACGAGGAAACTGAACCTAGGCCCCAGGAAAGGTAAAACTCACCTCAGAGGAGCTCTGTCTGTTATTGCTCTCCTATCCCCCACCACACACACACACACACACACACACACACACGAATACACACACCTCTGCAGCATTCTGCCCTTAAAAACTTACTATTGGGGTTAGCTGGGCGTGGTGGCGCACGCCTGTAGTCCCAGCTACTTGGGAGGCTGAGGCAGGAGAATTGCTTGAACCCAGGAGGTGGAGGTTGCGGTGAGCCGAGATCTCACCACTGCACTCCAGCCTGTGCAACAGAGTGAGACTCCATCTAAAAAAAAAAAAAAGAGAGAGATCTATCATAGAATATAATGATGTTAGATGGTGATTGTGGACATGGCTATAGTTATAACAGCTTGTGGTATACTTGAAAATTAGATTTTAGGCCGGGCGCGGTGGCTCAAGCCTGTAATCCCAGCACTTTTGGAGGCCGAGGCGGGTGGATCACAAGGTCAAGAGATCGAGACCATCCTGGTCAACATGGTGAAACCCCGTCTCTACTAAAAATACAAAAAAAATTAGCTGGGCATGGTGGCGCGTGCCTGTAATCCCAGCTACTCAGGAGGCTGAGGCAGGAGAATTGCCTGAACCCAGGAGGCGGAGGTTGCGGTGAGCCGAGATCGCACCATTGCACTCCAGCCTGGGTAACAAGAGCGAAACTCCGTCTCAAAAAAAAAACAAACAAACAAACAAAAACAACTTACTATTGGGGAAGACAAGCCAGTAAGGTAGATAAGACAACAAGAATTCCTAAATATTTCATTCCAGTAAACATAAGGCCCAGGCTAAGATCAAAAAATAAGAATAGGAAATAATAAGATTTGATTCTTCTAAAGTTTCAAAGAGAAGGTTTCTAAGAATTCATACTTGTCCACAGTTTTCCTCCTGAACTGCTTCTAATGCATCACTTGAGGTATACTTGACATGCAGTAAGTTGTAAGATATAAAGTGCACAATCTCATGCTCATCACATGTGAAGCCATCACCACCATAATCAGGTAACAAGCATATATATTAGCCCCAAAGTGTCCTTTATGATCCTGTGCTATTCCTCCTACTTGCCGCTGCCCAGTCTTTATCAAACCCCCAGTTTCCAGGCAATTATGGATCTGCTTTCTGTCAGTATATTTCCAAATTCTAGAATGGTATATAAATGGAATCATCCATCACTGTCTTTTTCTCTGTGCCCACAGATGCCCATTTCTTTCTCTTCTTATAAAGACACTGGTCATGTTGCATTAGGGCCTCACCGTATGACCTAATTTAAACTTAAATACCTACTTGAAGGTCTTATTTCCAAATAGAGTCACGTCTAGAGAATGTGCTTCAACACATGAATTTTGGAGACAAACAAGTCAGTCCATAACAGTCTTCCTGTTTAGTAAATAGCCCTCACTTTTTTTAAGAGGAGAGGGGAATGATATTATTTAATTCGAACCCCAGAACAAATTTTTAGCAAAGAATGCATGTTATAGTTACATACCTTAGCCCATGTAAAATGAATCAATTATCTTCTGGTATACAGTTTTTTGATAAGATTTTTGTTATTCAAATTGGGAATATTTTCTCCTTTTGGAGATTACCTCTTATTACCTTGCAGTTACTTTCTGAATTCCAATT